AGCTAGTCACCCCAAGTCCTGAAGTCGTCTGTCGGAAAAATCTTGACCTTTAGAATATCAGATGAACAGAGATAAGAAATTCTGTCTCAACAGGAGCTATGAGATACTAAGTTTTTCTTCCGAAGCTGCTATCAGTGTTCCATAAGCATATGCACAGGCACGTGGCTGTAGATTAATAAAGTCTAAATTACTATGTAGTTACTATGCGTTAGCTCGAGACATCAGCGTATCCTTTTTCGAGTTGTTCCCAGAAGATGTATCTAGGTATCTACATACCTCTGAGTTTCTTAGCACTGAGTGACTAATTACCTTCCCTTTTATGAAACAATCATTTAGGTTGGAAGAGACCATTAAGATCATCAAGTCCAACCATTAACCTAACTCTGCCAAGTCCACTTCTAAACCATGTCCCTAAGCACCACATCTGCATGACTTTTACATGCAAGGATGGTGACTCCACCATTTCCCTGGGCTTGATAAACCTTTCAGCAAAACGTTTTTCCTAACATCCAACCTAAACCTCCTCTGGCACAACTTGAGGCTTTTATGTTTTGTCCTATCACTTGTTACTTGGGAGAAGAGATCAATACCCACTTTGCTACAACCTCCTTTCAGGTATTTTGAGAGGGTGATAAGGTCTCCCCTGAGCCTCCTTTTCTCCAGGCTGAACAACCCCAGTTGCCTCAGCCACTTCTCATAAGACTTGTGCTCTAGACCCCTCACCAGCTTCCTTGCCCTTCTCTGGACCCACTTGAGAACCTCAATGTCTTTCCTGTAGTGACGGGCCCAAAACTGAACCCAGTATTTGAGGTGTGGCCTCAGCAGTGCTGAGTACAGGGTTGCGATCACTTCTCTCGCCCTTCTGGCCACACAGCTTCTGATACAAACCAGGATGCCATTGGCCTTCTTGGCCACCTGGGCACACTGGTGGCTCATGTTCAGGCAGCTCAGGACCAACATGCCCCCGTCCTGGGTCCTTTTCTGCTGGGCATCTTTCCAGCCACCCTTCCCCAAGCCTGTAGTGTTGCATGAGGTTGTTGTGACCCAAGTGCATGGACTCAAGTACACTTTGCCTTGTTGAACCTCATAGTTGGCCATAGCCCATTGATCCAGCTTGTCCAGGTTCCTCTGGACAGCCTTCCTACCATCAAGCAGACCAACAGTTCAGCCCAACTTGGTGTTGCCTGCAAACCAGGCAAACTGAGGGTGCACTCCTCATCAAGATCATTGATAAAGATGTTAAACAGAAGTGGCCCAAATACTGAGCCCTAGGGGAAACCACTTGTGACAGGCCGCCAACTGGACTTAATTCCGTTCACCACCACTCCTTGGGGCGAGTCGTCCAGGCAGTGTTTTACCCAGCAGACCCATCCAAGCCTTGAGCAGCCAATGTTCTCGTGAGAATGCTGCATGGAAACAGTGTTGAAGGCTTTAATGAAGTCATTAAGTTTGACAACATCCACAGCTTTTCCCTCATCCACAAGGCAGGTCATCTTGTCGTAGAAGAAGATCAGGTTAGTCAAGGAGGACCTGCTTTTCATGAACCCCTGCTGACTAGGCCTGATCACCTGGTTGTCCTGTATATGGTGCATAATGGCACTCAAGATGATCTGCTCCATAATCTTCCTTTGCTCCGAGGTCAGACTGACAGGCCTGTAGTTCCCTTGATCCTCTTTCCAGACCTTTGTGTAGATGGGTGTCACAGTTCCTAACCTCTGGTCCACTGGGATTTCCCAAGTTAACCAGGACTGGTGATAAATGATGGAAGGTGGTTTGGTGAGCACAGCCACCAACTCCTTCGTTTTAATTTGGTGTAACCCATCTGGCCCCATAGACTTGTGTATGTCTAAGTGATGTAGAAGGTCACTGGCCATTTCCTCTTTGTTTATGAAGGTCTCATTCTGCTCCCCATCCTTGTCATCCTGCTCAGGGGGCTGGATACCTGAGGAACAACTGGTCTTGCTACTAAAGAGCGAGGCAAAGAAGGCATTAAGTAGCTCAGTCTTTTCCTCATCCTCGGTCAGTATGTTCCCCCTGCATCCAATAAAGGGTAGAGATTCTCCTTAGTCCCCCTTTGGTTATTCATGTATTTACTGAAACATTTTTAATTGTCTTTAACAGCAATAGCCAAGTTGAGTTCTAGCTGGGCTTTGGCCCTCTTAATTTTCTCCCTGCATAGCTTCACTACATCTTTGTAGTCCTCATGAGTGGCCTGCCTCACTTCCAGAGGCTGTAAATTATCCTTTTATTCCTGTTTTTGAGCCAAAGCTCTCTGTTCAACCAGACTGGTCTTCTTCCCTGCTAGCTTGTCTTAGAGGACATGGGGATCGCCTGCTCCTGCACCTTAAAAGATTTCCTTCCTGAAGTATGTCCTGCCTTCCTGGACTCCTTTGCCCTTTGGGACTGCCTCCCAAGGGACTCTGTCAATTGGTCTCCTGAAGAGATCCACATCTGCCCTCCCACAGTCCAGGGTGGCAGTTCTGACCCCCCTCCCTACCTCTCTGAGAACCAAAACCTCTATCATTTCATGATCACTATGCCAAAGATGGCCTCCAACCATTATATTGCCTACAAGTCCTTTTCTGTTCACAAGCGGGAGGTCCAGGAGGCCACCTTCCCCAGTCGGCTCCCTCACCAGCTGTGTCAGGAAGTTATCTTCCCCACACTCCAGGAACCTCTGAGACTGTTCTCTCTCTGTGGTACTGTGTTTCCAGCAGACATCTGGGAAGCTGAAGACCCTCATAAGAACAAGGGGTAGTGACTGTGAAACCTCTCCTAACTACTTATAGAATATTTCATCTGCCTCTTCATCGTGGTTGGGTTGTCTATAAGAGACTCCCACTGTGATATCTGCCTTGTTGGCCTTCCTCCTGATTTTTACCCATGAAGACTCAACCCTATCATCACCATCATTAAATTGTAGACATTTGTAAGTCTCCCTAACATAGAAGGCCACCTCACCATCTCTTCTTCCTTGTCTATCCGTTCTGAAAAGTTGTTAGACATCGATTGCAGCATACCAGTTGTGCAGGTTGTCCCACCACATTTCCATGATGGCAACTATATCATAATGTTCTAGCTGCACAGTGGCCCCCAGCTCCTCCTGTTTGTTGCCCTGTTGTTTGATGAAACAAAGAATCTGGAAAATGAAGAAAATCTGCCATGTCAGCTGACTTGGTTGTTAAAAAGGTCATTAGCAAGCAGG